CAAGAGATAGCTTTCTAATTCAAGTGCCAAACTAAGCCAGTTAACTGTTGAGTCAATTATTTATACAAAACAAACATGCATAAAGAATTTTATATACACAAATAAATCTCCCATCAATTAGAAAACTCAAATCAGCAAATTCATTTCCAATCTTGAACTTTCTTATAAACTATCACTATCAAATTCAAGTTTAAGTATTTCCAAGGAACACATCTCATATATCTAATTAACAAAGATCAAACTACTATCCAAAACCCACAACTTCTTAAGGGCTAAAAGAAATAAGAAATAGAAACTTAAAGACCACTTTCCATCCAATTTTGATATTACTATCATTCAACTTACTTTAACCAACATTTATAAATCAAAATTAGGATAAAATATTTCTCCCGCATCATTTTCCTCAGTATTTTTAGTGAACAAACAAAAAAGAAAAGAAAAGAAACTATCCATTCAATAAAAAAAGCTAACTTTTCAATGTTTTAACAAAAACCCACCAAATACCATGTCCCATTTTACACCTTTTTTGCTAGATCCAACAGCCTTAACCTCCAACTCAACCACTACCCTATTTGTTTCTCGAGAAAAAGGAAAAAAAAAAGATGAAAAAGCAAAGAGATTTGAAATTATTAGCATTATAACTTTCTTAGTGATTTTTTTTTAACTAAAAACCAACAAACAAACAAACAAAAGGAAGTGTTAAAAGGGAATTGACCTTGAATCTTGCATGTTATGCGAACACATAGAGAGGGAAAAAAGACACAAAAGTGAGAAGGAGCAACAAGGAGCTTATGCAAAAGAAGAAAGGGGAAACACAAAATATATTTAATTTAGGGAAGAAGGAGAAGAGGAAAAGTGGAGGCCATATTTAATTTGGGGAAAACTTTGTGGCATTTATAATAATAAATGCCACTAAAGTATGAAATATAGTAGCGTTTGTTAAGGGAATTACCACTAAATGCTCTTTATTTATGGTATTTTTTAATAAAACGTTGCTAAAAGTAAAAATGATGTGTTTCATATTTATTGTGTTTTATGAAGATAAATTTTACAAAATTATATTTAAAAAAATAAATTCAAATAATTATTTAATGGTATTTTATTACATAAATGCTACTAAAATTTAAAGTTAGTAGCATTTTGAACTCTAAACGTGGCAATATTTTCTTTTCTAATGACGTTTATATAATAAATGCTGCTAACTTTATATTAACACATCAAATAATGACGCTTGTTGAAAAACGCCGCTAGAAAAAAGATTAAAATTTCATTGTTTTGTAGTGTATTCAATTAATTATATGGATGTAATATTTGATTATAATTGTAACTTAAAAAAAGAAATTAATGAGATTACCTTTTTTTGAGATTTTATCTTCGAGTGTGCACAATATCCACATCCTGCTCTCAATTTGCACAAAGGGATGTGGGTTCATTTTTCTTTTTCCAAATCCTTTCTTATGTAAAAAAGATCAAATGCGCAAAACTTAGATTATTAGATCATTCTAAAAGGTAATAGTTCTTAAAGATGTGAAATTCGAACCTAAAAGAGTTTTATTTTCTTTCTTTTCTTTTCAAGTTTGTTTTTTGGAATTTTTTTAATTTTCTGATTTTTCAGTTTGTATCCTCTGGCCTCTTGATTTTCTCTTTGAATAATATCCAAATTAAACTCCAAAAGAAAGTTTCTTTTAATACAAAAATCAAATTCCCAAAAAGTCTAGAAGCAATGTACAAAAGAGTATCAAATTCCCAAAAGTCTAGAAGCAATGTATCAAAAGAGTCTAAGTGTAAAATAAAATCTATTTCAAATTCAAAATCACTTATTTTGTTTACCTATTTGCTTTTAAAACATTATTTATCTTATCTTTTATTCTCTTAATTTTGTTTCCAAATCAATAAAATAAATATGCTTTATAGAGCATAAAATCCTAATGTATGGCGAGGTTGTTGTATTCTTGAAAATAATGCAAACTATAACTTGAGAGTTACGCCGTGGAAAGAAAGAAATAAAAGTGATTGTTATCATGTGTATGCTTGAATAAATCATCCTATTAAGCAGGTATGATTGGCCGTTGTGTTGGTTATCTATTGAATAGGCAAAAGCAGATGTTATCTCTTTATATCAATTTGGTGAGACCTATTTGGCTTTATGAAGAATCTTCTCATCAAGTACAAGGAAGAAGTACTTGTTTGATTGTGATGCTGATATAAGGAGGCTGAATTTAATTTGAAACTTTATTAAGAATACCCTCTCTCTAATCTCTCATGCACTTTAATTGCAATCGCTCTTTTTGAAAGGCATAATGATGGGAAAGGTGGGTGACTTCAATCAAGGATAAGAATCATATGATCTACCATTGCTTTGTCTATATCTTGATGATTGGAATTTCAAGTTTCATCTTGAAAGTTTCGGTTTGGCAAATGTGAGATGGAAAAAAAATGAGTTTATGATATAGAATCGATCAATTATCTTTCATTTTGTAATTCATTATATATATATATATATAAATTTATGATTAAAATTTAGAGGTTAATTCGTTAAGTTCATATTATCTCCTTTAATTAAGAGATGGCATTTAATAAATCTGAAAATCAAATATCATTTTCTTTAATTCGTTTTGTTATTTTTAGATTGCAACTTGTTTTGTATAAAAAGTTATAATTAACTAACGAAAAATAAGTAATGTAAAAAATGTTTGATTTTTAAATAAAACTGGACAAGTTTGGATTGAAGGATTGCTCAAATATAATATCTAAACTAAGAGAAGTGGTATAAAATGGAAAGTTACGACTTGTTAATTTTCGCAATAATACGATTTGTTTATCCTCATGTAAACAGCATTTCATAAACTACATTTCTTGACTTCATTATTGCCAAAACTAACTAAAGCTAATCGTTAGGTCCCGAAGACTTTATTTACATGTCTCAACTACTCGGTTAAAGCTTCGAAAACAAGATTTGAGTGCTTAAAATCAACAACAAAAGTTTCCAACAAAACACTTTTCAATTTTTAAGGTTTAATTAAGGCATGATTGGCTGCATTGCTGTTGATTAAAGGAGTAGAAAGCTCTTTGCATGTGGAGGTTGACAAACCAAGCCTACTTTATGGAAGGGTGGTTGGCTTAAAAGTTTAATTTCATTTTAAGTAATTATTTTTCCAAGAAAAGTAGGTGTGGGAAACAACGAATCCCTGTATGGAACATTTCCTTAATCCAACATGGAATTCCATTTCAAATAAACAAAAAACCCTAAATTAGTAGTAGTTTTATTTCTTCAAAGATACCCTTAATTTCTTGAAATTCTCCATTTAGTCCCCACAAGTATTCTACTATTGGGATTTGCAATTTTACATTGGAATAATGTAACGTATAATTCTTAAATTATAATGAAATATGTAATGTGATAATTAAATTTTAAAAATTTTTAATATGTTATTTAAATTATAAATTTATCAATTAATTTATTATTTAGAAGATTATTTATTAATAACGTATTATTATTTAAAACTAATAATATTATGAATATATATTATATCAATTAATAAATTTATAATTTAAATATCATATTAAAAAAAATTTAAATTCAAATATTACACTATATAATTCACTGTAACTTAAAAGTTTCAACTTCTAACATATAAAATCATGAAGAGTTTTTTGTAATTTAATAGATAAGAGAAGGCCATGTTTGGTCCCCACTATGCCATTCTCCTGGCAAAATTTCACTATCTTAAAAGTAAAAAAGGAAAGAAAAAGAAAACTGATAAAGACAACTGAGCCTTTGGAAGGAATTGGATATTTCTGTCCCCCACCTGTACCCCTTCAGCAAAAAATGCATTTGGACAGCTAAGTAGATCAACTTTTTTTTTTATCACAAAAAAAAAAAAAAAGAAAGAAAGAAAGAAGCAATTTTGAGGAAGGTTGAGATAGATCAAAGATTTTAATGGCAAATGATTTCCATTGCAACAACTAATTTCAACTTTGTAAGTAGCAATCAATGAGAAAGCCATGAGATGAAGGAGATGCGATGCTGCTGATGGGTCTAGGGTGCTAATTGTATAAATTATGTTTACCTTCTTTTTCTCTCATTTTTCTGCCCCACAAATTCATCAAAAAGCTTGTTCAAATGATCTAAATTTAAATAATTGATATATTAAATTTAAAAAAATCAAATTTGAAATTATCTTAAAATGAAATAATTTAGATTTTTTAATCTGAAATCATCCATCGTATCCATTTTGATCCGCCTAATTATCAGTCCTAGTTCTAACAAAAACAAACTGTTTATAATACATAATTAATTATCAACGTACATGCTTTAACTATATTCTTCAAAAAAAAAGAAATACTCACAAAAAAAACTTGTAGTCTTTTAAATAACGTCTAATCAACGACAAATGTGGGCCCAAACACATCCTTGCAGGCAACACACCAGCATGATTAATTCAACTGCTATAATTAGACAAAGGAAGCATTAAAAGCTACACAAAGAAAAGGCAGTAGTGTGACAAAGCTACCACATGAAAACTATTTGGTGAAGTAGTGGTATAGTACACAACGAATCACGCTCATAAAATCTGGTATTTCTATTATGGTTATTTTGATACAATTATGGGCATTTTTGTAAACTTGAAATATCATCCATTGTTGCTATATATTGAGTAAAAACTACTACTCCCTCTTCTCTCTCTCTATCTCTTCCTTTGCTTCACATTCTGTCATTCTATTTATTCATTGAGAACAATGACAAAAGCACATTGGATTTGAGATACCCTACATTCATCTCTCTCTTTCTAGTTTCTGGTTGTCCAAGATTCTAAGCTGGATATCATCTTCAACTCTGCAAATCAAATTCAAACGTCAATTACCCACTTTCTAATCCTCTTTTTTGTTGTTTCTCTCTAGTTGAGAAAAGAAAAAAGAAAAAAGGAAAAAAATTTCATCAGTTTTCCTTTGTTGTATTCTTTGGCTGTATATGTGCTGCTCTGTTTCATCCTCTGTTCATGGCTGCTGCTGCTACTGCCTCACAAATCTTTCAAAACCATCACGGTGATAATAACAGTAACAGCAACAATGACGTTAGCAGGCAAGAGATACACGCTGCCATTGCCAAGGCTGTGGAGCTTAGAGCTTTACATGCAGCTTTGATGCAAGGAAACAGCCCTGCAAATCTTAGATACCCAACTTCTGCTTCTCCTTTTTCACGCCCTGTTTCTCAGCTCTCTGGTCAAGATTACCCTGTTTTCAATCCTGTAAGTTAACATTTCTCTTCCTTTTTCCATGCTTTTTTCCACTTCTCTGTTCATCAATTTTAATGGGTTGTTTGAATTGTGCATTTATTTCTTGTTAAATGAAGTTCTTTTTTTGTTGCTATCTAATTCTATGTGAAAAATAATCAGTGAGATTTTTTCCCTGTTGATCTCGCTTGATAAGTTTTGCCCAGTTGCTGGTCTCGGGTCTCAAAAGCAATGAAACAATAGGTCCAGGAATGGACACAATGATTTTAGACCCAATATTCTTCTTAATTACTTGTGCCTTTGTCAAATTTTATCTCCTACAAAATTCCTGGCTATATTTCTATTCCCTGATTACTTAAAGCTGATTTTGCTAGAGTTCAAATTTTTAGTACCTCTAGAATTTATGAAAATATAAACAGGAATTATGTAGGTTGCCATTGTTTTGATAGAATTTTCCTTATACTCTCTTCTATGTTGGAATGCTTTAATGGCCCAGTTTTAAGTTCCAGTGCATTGTCGATGGTTACCCTCAATAACTTTTTGGGAATATTTGACAGAGTTATGAAAATGAAACATTATCTGGATACCATACAAACAACCAAGCTTTACCTGAAAGTTGGGATGAATATGAACTGGAAGCAGGAGAAGGCACTGAAACTGTTTTATCAGATTATAAGAAGGAGATTTCAGCTTCGAGGAAAGTATTCTCTCCGGCTTTGGCCGCCTTTGAATCCCATATTTGTCCTGCTGAATATCAAAAATCTGTTACTGGTTCTTGTGCAAACCACATTACTGTCCAACAAACATCACCAGCAAAACAATTTTACAAGTCCAGTAGAAGTAGGAGAAACAGTTTGGGGGATTTCAAATCAGTGTCTTCTTGCAATAGATGCAAGCCTGCTGCTATAACAAGTGAATCCGAAAATGTCATTAGGAACATCGAGAATTCTAATACCCTGGTGCCACTAACAGATTCTCACTCGTCAGTTCAATCACAACCCAAGAATCGAAGGGTGATTTCATGGTTATTCCCTCGGTTAAAGAAGAAACAGAAGAACGAGAATTCGCCTAACCCAACAGAATCCGAGGAAGTTTCACAAATATTCAAGGACTTCGGCATGTTGTCAATTGAAACATTGAAGAGAGAGCTGATAGAGGCAAATGAGAATAGAGACGCGGCCTTGATGGAAGTTGCTGAGATGAGATCTTCATTAGGAGAGCTCAAGCAGAAGCTGGAGTATTTAGAAACCTATTGTGAAGAGCTCAAGAAAGTCTTAAGGCAATCAACACAAACAAAGGATTCTCAAATCAACGAAAAGCTTGGAAATTTTCCTAGGAGAGGTAACTCCATTGATGGGAATGGAGAAAACCTGATGCCTGTCAGTGAGGAAGTTATGGTAGAGGGTTTCTTGCAGATAGTATCAGAAGCAAGATTGTCGGTGAAACAATTCTGCAAGACACTTGTTGGACAGATTGAAGAGACTGACAATACTTTAATGGACAATTTGAATTTGGTTCTTCAACCATATAAACTTTCATTGAATTCAAAGTACTCTAAGGCGGTATTATACCATTTGGAAGCATTTATAAACCAATCACTCTACCAAGATTTTGAGAATTGTGTATTTCAGAAGAATGGATCGCCAAAGCTCTTAGACCCTCAACAAGATCGCCAAGCTCAATTTTCGTCATTTGTTGCACTCAGAAATCTAAGCTGGAATGAAGTGCTGAGGAAGGGGACTAAATATTATAGTGAAGAATTCAGTAAGTTCTGTGATCAGAAGATGAGTTTAATCATTTCAACGCTGAATTGGACTAGACCATGGCCAGAACAGCTGCTTCAAGCTTTCTTTGTTGCAGCTAAATGCATATGGTTGCTTCATTTGCTTGCTTTCTCATTCAATCACCCATTGGGAATTTTAAGGGTTGAAGAAAATAGAACCTTTGATCCACATTACATGGAAGATATGTTCACGGAAAGGCAAAGATCACATGGACCGAGCCGGGTTAAGATCATGGTGATGCCTGGATTTTATGTTCAGACAAGGGTTTTAAGGTGTAAGGTGATCTGCAGATATAAAATTGCAGCTTAATTAATTTGCTTAAAATTCCTTTCTCAAGTGGTTTTTTCAGGGCAGTTTCAAGTAGGAAAGTTTGTTAGTAGCAAATAGATGTTAATAGATGTGCAAATAGGTTTCTTCTGTATTACTTCCACTTGACATGAGTCGCTAAAATGATTGAATAACTGTAAAATTTCGAATGTACTAGTAACACAGTAGTTTGTATAGAGGACAAAAAAAAAAAAAAAAACTTCCTATGTTTGATTTAATTATATCATTTTAAGAAGATATGACCACAAATAAGATGACTTACATTAAATCTAACAATTTGTGTATTTTATTATAGAATTAATATTTGATACACTATTAGTATATCACTTTTATACATTGTCAATCAATAATAAGATGACACTTCATTTAATAAATAAAAATTAAAATTTTAAGTACTTAAAAATAACTATTAATAAATTTATTTAAGATTAATTAATTATTAAAATTTTGCTTTCCCTTATATTTTTAATCCCCTCCCTTTACAATAGTCTGATCTAAGACCCTCGTATCCATTTTCAATCTTGATGTTTCGACTACTTCACTCTCATTTTTAATCCCATTTATCGATCTTGTTATAGGATTTACAACGTAAAAAATAGGTTATGTGAAACAATAATGTCGCTTTTTGAGAATTTATCAACATGAGCAATTGCTTTCACTAGTGTAGCAATACACAGGTACTCGTAATATTTTCCAGTATAAAATTCAGATGATTTGGCTTTAAAAAAACCTTGTAAACACTCTCCCCTCATTCAAAACATTGAGAGGTACTTATCTATGGACTTGACTACTGCTGTTAATGATTGTGTGGCTAATAAAGGGAAAATAGAAAATAAAGTTTCTCAAAATTGTTGCAAATTCAAAAAGTATTGGAAATAGTAAAAGCTGCTCACTGCATGTGACCTTCTTAAAACCTAGAATAAAGTCGAAATTTGTCCATTAATAGACTTTTTTTTTTAATTTTTTTTTGTTATAGGCATTACGATGTCTGATATAACCTATTTTTACATTCTAAATCCTATAACAAGATCGATAGATGGGCAGAAATGTAAGTGAAGCAGTGGAAATAATAAGATTGGAAATGGCTACGAGGGTTTTAGATTATTGAAAAGGGAAGAGGAAAAAAATTAGGGAAGAATAAAATTTTAATAATTAATTAACTTTAAATAAATTTATTAATATTAATTTTTTAAGATTTAAAGGTTAATTTTTATTTATTAAATGAGATGTCATTTTATTATTGATTGATAGCGTATAAGAGTGACAAATTATCAGTGTATGAAATATTAATTTTTTAAAATTATATCTATTTCATGTGAAACGTGTATTAAATAAACAAAATTGTTATATCATAATTCATATTAATACACCAAACACGAAATATTTTTTTGTTTTTACCAAGCTTATATATGACTTTTACTATAATTTTGAATCTTATTGTTTTTGTATATTTTTTCATATCATGCCAATTTTAAAATTTTCAAATTTAGTTTATATATCCTCTTAATTTAGGAAGAATTATATAAAAAAGGGGAGAATTATTTTAAAGGATTATTGGATAATTTTGCTTATATTTCAATACTAGGTAATAAGATTGTAGGTTGATTCTCTTTGAAAGTTTCATTCTTCTAAAAAATGAAAATGGGTTACTTTAAAAGCTAAATTTTAATCTATAAGAAAGGTCTTACTGTTTTTCAAATCGTTATTAGGCCCTAGAATAGACAGGTTATGCTTGTGCTAGATTGGGCTGTGTTACGGGTGACTTGGCCCGTTTGATTTCTCCAGCAGTCAACAAAATATTGGGTTTTTTTTAGTGTTTTTCCTTAACTAAGAACGTTGATTAAAATTTTTATTATCAAAATAGGGTTTTCTTTTTTTTAATTCAAAACTTAATTTCGTTAATTTATAAAAATTAATTTATATAATCATTTTAAAAAATAATATTAAGTAATATTAGAGTTTAAATCCAAATACTTATAATTATTTTTTTTATGCTTAGATTACGGTATCTTTTATACTAAAAATATAGTATTCTTTTATAGAAATTTAATTCTATAAATATTTAAATATTAAGCAAAGGCAATCCTTGCTTAAAGATATAAGTAGTTTGAAGGAGTTGTTAATCGGGGAAGAAGGGACAGTGTTACCCAGCGGAGGCCTCTCCACCTTTCTTAAAGCTTAATTGTGATGAAGGGTGTAAATGATACATTAGTACTCGCAAGCTACTCGGGTTCGATTCGAAAAAAATGTGAATTCGATTCGATTATTGTCGAGGCGAGCTCGAGCTCGAGTAGCTCGATTTATCGATCGAGCTGAATTCGAGTATTTTTATATCTGACTCGAGCAGCTCGCGAACCTAATCAAGCTTTTATATTTAAATATATTTTTATTATTTTAATTAATAAAATATTTCGAGTCCGAGTTTGAGTTCGAATTCGAGCATGAATAATCGAACACTTGTCGAGTATACGAATCGAACTTATTTTTATATATTAATCGAGCTCGAGTAGCTCGAATTTGATCACAAATCGAGTTCGAACTTGAAAAATAACACTCGATCGAGCTCGAATCGAGTATCGAGCCCCGAGTTGTTAGTCGAGCTCGAGCTCGAACTTCTCACTATTCGGCTCGACTCGACTCGTTTACACCCCTAATTGTGATAATGTCTGTTTGACAAGCAGAGATGGGAAATGTGGGAACTTGACTGATGCAGCAAACGTTATGTTCAAGTTGGATGAACTGGGGTTGGCTTACGGATGCCAAGATCCAATCCACTAGATAAGAGTTTTTTTTTAATACGATCGGCATAAAATAATAAGTTTTTTCTTGAAAAAGTAGAATTTAATATCTTATTTTATAGGAGGCGTCATATTTTTCATATATTTTTTAAACAATTTTATCATTTTACTATAAATTTTGGTGCAATCTTAATCATATATGGATGAAAAAAATTAACGTTAACTTTAATGTTAAAAACTGGTGTAGCTGTTTTAAAATAGAAAAAATAGCCTAGTGGTCAATGAGTTGGCAATTCCAAAAAAAAAAAAAATTTGACAAATTAATTAAGAGGAAAAATTATCACTAAGCTTATGTTTGAATCAGGGGGATGTAAGGGAAAAGAAAAGGAAAGTAAGGAAAATACAATAAAAATTTTTATTTGGCTTTCATTTCAAATTAAAATAAAAGAAAGAAAAAAGGTTGATTACCCTCCCTTTTCTTCAAGAGCTTCAATTTTTTAATTATTTCAAATTGGTGAAAAAGTAAAAAAAAAAAGTAAAAATTTTTAAATTAAAATAATATTTAGACCTTTTATTATTTTCTTCAATTTTTAAAAATATATTACTAACTTGACCAGAAGTATTAATATTTACTCTTTTATCAATTAAACCCATGCCTTTTACTTACTTTGCTTTCTTGTAGCTTTCATCAACTTCTTTTACTACTGTTTTCAATTTTTTATATTTTTTTATTCTTTTATTCTTCTTTAGCATATTTTCTTTATTTTATATGAAAATAAACTTTTATGTTATTGTTGGCTTAGGTAACTTATCATTATCCATAAAGAAAAAAATTAATCATATCAGTTATTTTTAATAAGTGTTGGGTCTTACATCATTTTTACATTTTATTATTATTTCTTAAATTTGGGAAAAAAAGAAATATGCATGTGAAAAATATATAAAATTGGAGAAATTATGCCTATAAAAACTTGTTAAATTTATAAGAAAATATTAATACAAGATTATAATTAATTTTATTTATTATGACATTTTTAGATTTTTAAAATTTTCTCATTGAAATTACTTTTGAAAAATGTAATTGTTATAGAAATAGTTTCAAACCACATTATTTTATAGATTAATAGAATTAATCTCTTTTATTGGAGTTTTTCTTTTCTATTTAAAACAAATAATTTCTAAATTATTCACATGATAAATGAAACATTTCAAACTATAATAAAAAAAATTATATTATAATGAATCATTTTTTTTCCTTTTCATTCCTAACCAAATAATAGACATTAAAATTCCTTTCATTTATTAGTTCTAACTATTAAAATAAAGAATACATATATTTTTTTTCCTTTAAAAATCTATTTTTTTATATATTTTTTACTAATATCTATTCAAACATAACATAAATAAAAAATTGCACCAATTGTAAAAAAAAATAATAATAAAAGAGAGATCAATTTTTTTATACTTACAATTATCAAAATCTGGACTTTGGTAACTAAAACTACTTTACCATACGACTATTGAAAAAGAAAGATAAATTCTTTTATCACTGAGGCATTTTAACAAATTATTAAAAGTTGCAGGGTGTTGGGGACTGCAACCCCTTTGTAAGTAGTAACCGTTGTGGCAAGTACCGTTCCTTTTAATTTGGTGGGGTGACTTTCTTGGATTAAAGAATATCTCTAAAATTAGCTTTCATAAATGAACGAATTAAGTCACACTCCACTATTACCCCTTCATGGGAGAGTAATTGTTTGAATTTAAATTGATATAATATTAAATTTAAGTTCGAGTTGATTTCAAATTCGAGATTTAAAACTTAACTTGAATTCAATCAAAATTTATTTTTTTAACTTAAATTTGACTCAAGATAAAAATCAAATTACTTAAACAAATTCAATTAGACTCAATTAATATGTAAAAATAAACTCGATTCTTATATTTGATAAAAGTTTGATTATTTTTGTTTGAACTTTCAAGTTCGAGATATTTTATCAATTAAAATAATTAAGATATATTAAAATATAAAAATTCGATTAGATTTGTGAATTATTCGAATTAGATATAAGAATGTTTAAATTCGATTCGATTTGATCGATAAATCAAGTTATTCGAATTTGACTTAATAATAACTGAACTGAATTCGAATTTTATTTAAGTGGAATCTAAATAATTTACGAATGTTAATGTATCATTTTAAGCTCTACCCTTCCACTATTACTACTTCAAATAGGTCAACCAATAAAAAAAAAATGGTACATTGCAAAATTTTGAAATATATATTATTTTGTTTATTTCTCTTATTTACCGCCTTTAGCATGCAAATGAGATATTGGCATTTGAAAAATAATCTTTGCTGAAGTATATAACATGGGATTTTTGGGTAAAGGAAT